AAAGTCTTCAACTATAAATTTGAAAGTAATTCTTAAATAACTGCCAGTAACCATTATATATATTCACCAAAAAAAAAGTCTGTTCGACTTACTCACTCGTTAACATTTAACAAGCAATTGCTTAAACGCTTGAAGACAAAGAGTTTTATTTTGTTGTTTTTGTGGTTTTTTTAGCGGCTGGCTAGTACAGGGAATCAAACCCTGGACCTTGGTGTTATCAGCACCATGCTCTTACCAATTGAGCTAACCATCCAGCACACAAAGAGTTAAAGTAATTCAATAAACACTTGTCAGTTGCTGAACATTCACTATTAACCAGTTCTTTCCCATGCTTTCGGGAAGTTCGAATTATACTAAGAGTGAGTTGCACCAAGGGCTCTGGGTTGTCTAAGGATGTTATGAGAACCAGGGGAGATGAAAGGGCAAAGGAGATTATAAAGAATCTGGTATTCAACTGAGGCAATTCTTCTGTAAACTATGGAGATTCATGTATGGACCATAACAGAGGAGAAATATGATCAGAGTTTCATTTAAGAATAACCACTCCAGAGTAGAGAGCATGGAGCAAAGAAGAGAAAGCATGAAAGCCAGAAGGCTAGTGAGAGCTGCTGTAACTACTGAACTGTACACTTACAAATGAGTAAACTGTATGGTATGTGAATTATACTCAATAAAACTGTTTAAAGAAATAAGTCTACATGAGAATTGGTGAGACTCTGAACTCAAACCACGTGAATGGTGACAAAGTAGAGAGCCTAAACAAATACTCGGGAGTCAAAATCTGCACGATGTGAGTGATAGGTGGGTGGGACAGAGGGTTGGGTCGAGGTGTGGGGGCAAAACAGAAAAAAGAAAAGGAGAAGAAATACGGAGTTATGTCACAGGATGGAAGAAGGCACACAAGAGAGGGACATTAACATATAAGCAACAAACTGTAACACAAACAAAATCAATTTAATGTTACTGTGGAGCACCAAGCCCATGGAAACACATCTATGAGCAGAAAGACACATGAGCTAATTGCTGAAAGATCAGTCCATTAACAATGATGGTACTATTAACTGTTTCCAATTTTCTATTTCCTTGTCTGGGTCAGACATGGTGCCCCTCCATTTTCATGTACATCCCCAATGTCTTCATTTTACATCTGAGGAAACAGGCTCACAGCAATGAAAAGAAAAAACTGAGATTCTAATTCAGTTACCACCTGGTTCTGACACCCCAAGCGACTTACAAGCTGTGACACTGTCTGCTTAACAAATAATGACGACAATGGTAATAAACATAAAGAAAGTTTTGTTCCGCCATTGCTGAACCGATTAGAATTGCAGCTCACATCCTCTGTACCTTGAACAAGTGCTCAGCCCTACCTGTGGCATCTTACACACAATTTCATCTATATCTTGCCTTGTAAGAGTAGTAACAAGACTGCAATTTATTAAGCATCTGCTCAATGCCAGTCACTTGTGATTAGGGTCATATGTGCATCATTTCTACTCTTGAGAGTATCCCTGCAAGAGAGGCTGCACTGGCCTCAATCTGTACTAAAGGAAATGGGCTCACAAGACAATGTAACACACTAAGAGGCAGTGCAGGGATAGAATCCACAGCCATGCAGTTTCAAATATTTGTATGTAAATATACATCTCCTCTCTCTCTCTCTCTCTCTCTCTCTCTCTCTCTCTCTCTCTCTCTCATATCACATATGTGACAAAATGTTCAAAACTAGTGAATTCTGATAAAGAGTTGTAGGGAAATTATCTGTATTATGCTTATAACTTACTGGAAAAATAAACCCTATATGAGTCAAGGCACGAAAGTGCCCTGAGGGCTCAGTCCATTCTCAGAGGACACCTTTAGTCATTACAAACAGATAAGAATTAACTGTTTGTAACCATGGGGGTGACGGGGAGGAATCACATGACGACTTACTTTTTTAAAAGAAACTGCAATTAAATGATATTTTTAAAACTACCAATTAAACATGCATGGTACAGACAGGCTCCCTGATCACCAGGACCTAAACTGCATTAGAAATGCGGTGTAGGGGCTGGCCCGGTGGCGCACTGCTGCAGTGTGCTGCTTCAGAGCGCAGCGATACATTAAAACAAATACACACCCAAATAGCCAAAACAATCTTGAGAAAGAAGAACAAAGTGTGGTCTCACACTTCCTGATTTCAAAACTTACTACAAATCTGTAGTAATCAAAAGAAGCGAGGTAGTGACATAAATACAGACATACAGACCAATGGAATAGAATAAAAAGCCCAGAAATAAACCCTTGCATATACAGTCAAATGATTTTTGATAAGGGTGCCACGACCATTCTCTGGGGAAAAGACAATCTTTTCAAAAAATGTGCTGGGAAAACTGTACATCCATATGCAAAACAATGAAATTTGGCCCCTACCTGATGCAATTTACAAAAACAAACTCGAAATGAATCAAAGACCTATAACTATAAAACTCTTAGAATAAAACACAGGGGAAAAGCTTCATGATGAGACAGCATAGGGCTAGGCCTGTGAACCAAACCGACTCCATTTTCCCTGCAGAGGACATTTTGTTAATTTTCCAGTCCTCAGTCATGAGACCCATAGGGGGCACAATAACCCCACTGCCTTGATGCCTTGATAAAAGTAAATGAAAGAGACCAGTTGGTCATAATTGCCTTGATAAGATAAACTGAGATAAAAGAGGAACAGAAATTCACTGAGTTGCAAAACCCCTTCTCCAAGGCTTGTTAAAATATTAGTTAGCTTTGTTTAAAACATCATTATCTACCCATTCTTTTTTCCCTGTAATTACAAAAATTGAGATACAGATTAACCTTAAGACCCCTTTAGGAGTTCCCACATGCCCACAACGTGACCACTACAATGACCCTCCTGGGACAGCAATAATGAACAATACCACCATCTTGCACCTACTGAGCAGGTGCAAAGACCAAAGCCCTAACTGAGCTTGTGCCCATGATGCAACCAGGAAGAACGGAATGGACCATCTCCAGAGGCATGGAATGAGGACTCTGGCCTTCACCCCTCACCTCTTTTCCCTTTAAAGGGCCCTGAAGAGTTCCCTTCAGAGGGGTAGCTTCTCTATAGCTACCTCCATATGCATAAGTCTACTTCCTCTTTTCATAAAGCATTGCTTCCTTTGTGACTTTGGGACCCAAGAGCCTAATTCAGTAACAATGACATTGAATTTGGTGATGATTTCTTGGATATGATACCAAAAGCACGAAAGAAAAGAAAAAATAGGTAAGTTGGACTTCATCAAAATTAAAAACCTTTGGGCTGGCCCGGTGGCGCACTGGTATGATTTCTTGGATATGATACCAAAAGCACGAAAGAAAAGAAAAAATAGGTAAGTTGGACTTATCAAAATTAAAAACCTTTGGGCTGGCCCGGTGGCGCACTGGTAGAGTACACTGCTTGAGAGTGCGGCGGCGCTCCCGCCGAGGGTTCGGATCCCATGTGGAGACCGGTTCCCGCTCACTGGCTGAGCGAGGTGTGGGCGCAGCACCGAGGGTTGCGATTCCGTTGCCGGTCCCCGGTACAGGCACGACACCGAGGGTTGCGATCCCATTACCGGTCAGTAAAAAAAGACAACAAGGAAAAAAAAGAATTAAAAACCTTTATGCATCAACAGAATGGGAGAAAATATTTGGAAATCTTATATCTAATAAGGGACTGATATCTGGAATATATAAAGAACTCCTAAAACTCAAAAACAACAACAAAAAACAACCAGATTAAAAGAAGGCAAAGGACTTCAACAGACATCTCTCCAAAGAAGATAACAAAAGGCCAATTACCACATGAAAAGATGCTCAGCATCACTTAGTTATTAGGGAAATACAAATCAAAACCACAATGAGATACCACCTCACACCCATTAGAATGCAAAGTTAAGGGCCAAATCCTAAATCAAGAAGGTACATTATGAGCCTAGCCAGCTGGCCTCTCCCTAAGGAAACTCTGTCTTGTTCTCTCACTTTCTCAGGTAATGTATCAGTCTTGCAAATAGCTTCCCCAAATCTATTCAGCTCACAAAATTCAAAACAAACCAACTTTTATCTGCCAGGGCCATTCTTTCTCCTCCTACTCAGTGCTGCCTAAAATCATTCTCCAAAATGCATATTCTACGTATTGCATCTATCATGAACACAGATTCCTATCAAATACAATAAAAGAGCAAAAAGAACAAAGAAGAATATATTTCTTTAGCCAATACTAGAAATGTATAAATTCATGATTCCATTTCTTCTGGTCAGCCCTGATTCCTAAGGCCTTTGGAATATGAAACATCACTCCATGATTCTGCTAAATTCTGCTTTAATAAATTTCCACAACTGTTCTATTTTTAAAATATCTAAAACTAAAGGTCACAATATTCTTGAAAATAATAATCACTAGCAACAAAAAAATTCTGTAAATTCTTTCATTTACATTTGGTTAGTGCTCAATTTTCACGATGTTATAGGACCCCATATTCCAAAACATGATAAATAAAAGGAAAACCTAAAAAGTACACATTCTACTTGTGCTTTGTATGTGAAATTATGTGTCTTCCTACAAATTACATTTTGGAGTTTGACAGTGTTTCACAATGAATTCCACACCTGTAGGAAATGAGACCTAAATCACTATCAAAAAGCATTTTTTAGGATTTGTTTTAAAAAAGCAGAAGTGACATTTCCCTAGAAAAGACTAAAAATACTATTAAATTTATAGACTTCTATTTCAAATAGGAATTTTCTATTCTACTCAGCACAATGGCTAGAAAAGTCTCTTCCTGTTTGCATCACGGTGACTGTTTTTCATACCTGGGCAATAACCATGAATACACAGCCTCAATCTTCATGTCTTCCATTACCTAACCTGCTTTGCTTTCTTACCAGTAAATGCTTATGCACAGCAAGGGACAGCGCTGATTTAGACTAACAGAGGTATCTGATGTGGATGCTACTTAAAACAGGTTTGTGTTTTCACCTACCTCCACTGCTACTACAATCAAAATGAGGTCCGTTTTTGACTCTGGAAAGACTGCATTCACTTGTGGTGACATTCCAATCAGAGCACAGTTAGTGACGACAGATATAACACTCATTGTTTCGAAAGCCAACTAAAAGAAAAAAGAATGTGAAATTAAAAACTGCAATGACTCCTTCCATATTTCTTCATCCTTTTTCATATTACCTAAAAACCAAGGAAAAAGTCTTTCCCTAGTTCTAAACATTCCAAGAAATTTTAAGCTTTTTTCCTTTGTCATGCTATGATTTTCATTAGTTTAAAAAGGCCAGACTGTTAGAAGATATTTTGGATACTTTTGGCTTGAATATTCCAAAGCAATATGCTCTACCTTCCCAATTGGAGACAGCCATGGATCTAAATTTGGAATACATCCAAATAACTGTTAAAGTTACTCTACTCTACTCATATCTAAGGGAAATCTGAAGTAGGAGTGTCAAAGAAAATGTTTCAAATTCAAGAACAGGTAAGATTTCAAACAGAATTTATTTTGTGAAACTGTTCTATTTTGACAGATCACACACCACATGTGGTTCAGCTATAACCAGTTTTATAACCGAGGCGCCAGTTATAAAAACAGTGATCCCTCCCTAGTGGCATTTACCAAATCATCTGTTGAACTTTAGAAAGGTTCCAGGCCCCACTAAGACTTACTAAACAGACTGTTCCAGGCTCCCATGAAGGAGACTTTGGTGCCTGCTACTACATATGGACGTAGAAGTGTTGTGACCAATGCTCTTTTTTTTTAAATGTAAAGCACGTGGTGATGACTACTAGACGACTTAACCACTACCTCCAAGAAACACAATTACTATCAGAAATGTAAATTTTAAAAGAAGCAAAACAAAAGATAACTGGACCCAAACCTAATAATATCTTGACCCATGAAGAATTTCTGCCACCTTATATTTTAGCAATCCTTTGTGTAATCTATTTTTCCATAGTTTTCTTCACAACAAACCTACTCAGGACATTCTTCACCTTCTCTTTAAATAACTTAAAATTTCTACTTATTTACTTTTGATCATTACATTAGCATAGTTCAAAATCAAAAATTGTAAGTATATAATGAAAAGTTTCCTTGTCCCCTTTTCTCTTACTTCCCAGCTCCCATTCTTCCAAAAGACAATCACTATTACTAAATCTTATGTCCCTTTCCAGACACTCTGTATGCAAGTATAAACAAATTTGAATAAATGCACTCTTTCTTATTCCCTTTAGCATAATACACACTGTCAGGCCCTTGCTGTTATCACTTAAAGTGTCTTGGAGAACTTTCTGTGTCAGTACTCAAAAAGCTCCCATTCTTTGTCACAACTGCTTAAGTATTCTACTGCATGGATATAACAGAATTTATTTACTCATTGGTGGGCATTTAGTTGCTATTACAAACAATGCTGCAATTAGTAATCCTATAAATACATCACTTAATAAGTGTGGAAGCAGGCTACATTCCTGAAAGTAGAATGGCTAAGTCAAGGAGGACATGCATTTGTAATTTTTTTCATGTTAATTAACCCTTTATTTATTTATTTATTTTTTATCTTTTCTATTGAAGTACTTTTTAAAAAAATTATTGAAACAATTGCTTATACATATCTCTGGGGTACAGCATTAAACACCAATACTTGTGTGCAATATGTGATGCTCAAATCAGAATAATGAATATATTCAACATTACACAATATCTTTTGTGGCCTTTTACCAATTTCTCACTAGCCACCCCTCGCCCTCCCCCCCCCTTCCCTCCTCTGGTGGCCTCAGTTCTGTTCTCTCCTTTTGAAAATCCAACACATTATTGTCATTGTTGTATCTTTTTTTTTTAGCTCCCACTTATGAGTGAGGACATGTGGTATTTCTCTTTCTATCTCTGGCTTATTTCACTTAACATAATTTTCTCCAAGTTCATCCATGTTGCTGTGAAAGGCAGAATTTCATTCTTTCTTACGGCTGAGTAGTATTCCATTGTGTATGTGTATATATATATACACACACCACAATTTCCTTATCCAGTCATCCATGGATGGGCATTTAGGTTGGTTCCTCATCTTGGCTATTGTAAATAGAGTTGTGGTAAACATGGAAGTGCAGGTATCCCTTCAACATGATGATTTCCATTCCTTTGGGTATACACTCAGCAGTGGGATTGCTGGATCGTATGGTAGATCTACCTGTAGTTGTTTGTGGAACTTCCATACTGTTTTCCATACAGGCTGCACTAATTTACAGTCCTAGCAACAGTGTAGGAGGGTTCCCCTTTCTCCACATCCTCGCCAGCGTTGGTTACTCTCTTTTTGATAATGGCCAGTCTAATTGGGGTGAGATGATATCTCAATGTGGTTTTGATTTGCATTTCCCTGACGCTTAGTGATATTGAACATTTTTTCTTGGTGTAGAGAAGTTTCACCTCCTTGGTTAAATTGATTCCTAGGCATTTTATTTTGGGGGTGACTATTGTAAATGGGCTTGCTTTCTTGATTTCTTTTTCTGCTAATTTGCTATTGGAGTATAAAACTGCTACTGATTTTTGCATGTTGATTTTGTAATGTGCAACTTTACTGAAATCATTTATCAGCTGTAAGAGTTTATACAGTCTTCAGGTTTCTCTCTATATAGGATCATGTCATTGGCAAACAAGGACAGTTTGACTTTTTCTTTTTCAATCTGGATGTCCTTTCTTTCTCCTGCCTGATTGCTCTGGCTAATATTTCCAATACTATGTTAAAAAGGAGTGGAAAAAGTGGGCATCCTTGTCTCTTTCCTGTTCTTAAGGAAAAAAGCTGAAGGATAATATTCAGGATAATATTGATGGAGGACTTGTCATATATGGCTTTTATTATGTTGAGATAATTTCCTTCTATACCTAATTTGCTGAAAGTCTTTACCATGAAGGAATGTCAAATTTTTCAAATGCTTTTTCTGCATCTATTGAGACAGTTATATGGTTTTCATCTTTAATTTTGTTGATGTTGATTTATTGACTTGTGTATACAACCATGCTTGTACCCCTAGAATGAATCCCACTCGATCATGGCATATAATTTTTTCATGTGTCTGTTGCATTTCCCTAGTGACTAACTATAAATCTTTTCATGCTGTTACTGGCCATTTGTATAGGTTCTTTGGTGATTTTTTTTTTTTTTTTTTTTTCCATATCTCTTGCCCATGTTTTTATTGGTTCCATTGTCTTATTATTGAGTTGTAGGCAATTTTTAATATATTCTCAATACAAGTCCTCTGGCAGACATATGTATTGTGAATATTTTTTCTCATTTTATGTCTTGTTCTTTTTGTTGAAGAACAAAAGTTTTAATACTTTTTTTCCATTTGGAGACCTAGTTATCTTAACAGCATTAGTGGATAATCATTTCTCCTACTGAACTGAGATGTCACCTGATGGAGTTCGGACGTGTTGACCCTTCCAAAACTCATGTGGAAATTTGATCTCCAATGTGGCAGTGTTGGAAACTGATTGAGTCATGGGGGCAGGTCGCTCATGAATGGATTAATGCTCTCCCTGGGGGAGGGGGGATTAATGAGTGAGCTCTCACTCTTAGTTCCCGCAAGAGCTCGTTGCTTAAAAAGACCCTGGCCCCTTTTCTCTCTCTCTTGCTTCCTCTCTCTTGCTTCCTTTCACCATGTGATCTGCTTGTACCCGCCCAGCTCCCTGCCACTTTCCACGATGAGTAGAAGCAGCCTGAGGCCCATGCGAGATGCAGCTGTCCCAGAATCGTAAGCCAAATAAACCTCTTTCCTTTATAAATTACTTAGTCTCAGGTATTTCTGTTATAGCAACACGTAACAGACTAAAACATCACCTATATCATATTCTAAATTTCCGGGCTTTCAATTGTGTTCCATTGGTCGGACTGTCCAGTAATGAACCAGTACCACACTACCTTAATTACTGAGATTATATAACACGTTCTAATATGTGATAAAATGTGTCTGTCCCTACTCTTCTTTTGAGTTTTCTTTGCTATTTTATTTCATTTATTTTTTCCCTGTGAACTTGACAGTAAGTTTACCTAATTGAAAGAAAAACTTTGTAAGTTAATTGTAGATTTGTAAATTAAGTGCTATATCTGCAAGTTAATTTATAGATTAATTTGTAAATTAAGGGAAAACTGATATACTTTTAAAAAAAAAATTAATAGACTTTTATTTGCTTTTATTTGTCATACATGGGTATAGGATACTTGTTGCCACGGACTGTTGGCTAAGTAGACTGTCAATCCTCCCAGGGTTTTACCTCATATAAGGCCTAATTTAAAATGGGATTTCAATGTTTTATCTAATTTTCCTTATAGCTGTCCATCTATTTTTTAAAGGAACTTATTTTTTTAATTGAAATGTATTGATTGTACATATTTACAGGGTACAGTTAGATTTCAATACATGCATACAATGTGGACGATCAAATCAGGGTATTAGCATATTCATCATTGTATAAATTTACCATTTCTTTGTGATGAAAACATTTGAGCTCCTCTCCTAACCATTTGATAACATACAATAAATTACTGTAAATTATAGATGCCTGTCACTACTGTACAACCCTAGAACTTATTTTTCCTATCTAGCTATTTTATGTCCATTAACCAACTTCTCCCTATCCCCACTCTCTCCCCTCCTTCTCAGCCACTAGTAACCACAATTCACAATTGTGACTGATTTCACCTAACATAATGTCTTCATTTAATTATGATGTGTCTTGTTGTGGACTTCTTTGGGTTTATCTTGTTAGGGGTTTGCACAACTTGAATTCAGCTCTCTTACCAAATTTGGAAAGTTCTTGGCCATTATTTTTTCAACTACTTTTTTGGCCCCTCCCTCTTTCTCCTCTCCTGTAACTTCCCATGACAACAATGTTAGCTCCTCTGTTATACACACAAAGGTCCCTGAGGCTATGATTTTTTTTATGATCTATTTTCTCTCAGTTGTTCTGATTAGGTAATTTCTCGTGTTCTCTTTTCCAATTCCTGATTCTTTCCTCTATCCCTTCCATTCTGCTATTGCACCCATCTATTGAGCTTTTTATTTTTGTTACTTTCTTTGTCACCTCTAAAATGTCAATTTGTGGACTGGCCAGATAACTCAGTTGGTTAGAGTGTGGTGTGTATAACACTAAGGTCCAGGGTTCGATCACTGTGCCAGGAAGGAAGGGAGGGAGGGAAGGAGGGAAGGAGGGAAGGAGGGAAGGAGGGAAGGAGGGAAGGAGGGAAGGAGGGAAGGAAGGAAGGAAGGAAGGAAGGAAGGAAGGAAGGAAGGAAGGAAGGAAGGAAATGTCAATTTGATTCTCCTTCACATCATCTATTTCTTTGCTGAGACACTGTTATTCTATTTTTTCATTTGTTTCAGGTGTGTTCATAATTACTTATTGAAACCTTTTTATCATCATTCCTTTAAAATTTTAGTCCAATATTTCTAACATCTGCTGATTGTCTTTTCTCACTCATTTTGTTATCTTCCTGGTTCTTTGTATGTTCAGTGATTTTTTACAGAAACCTGAACATTTTGGGTGTTATAAGATTCTAGATACTATTTAAACTTTCTGTTTTACTTGGTTCCTGACACCACTCCAGCACAGGGGGAAAGTGGGTAATATTTTGTTACTGGGTGGAAGTAGAGGTCCAGGTTCCTTATCCAGACACTGCTGGCATCCGAGGGGGGTGGTTCCTTATTGTTGCTGGGCAGGGGTGGGCATTCTGGCTTCCCACCGTACTTCTACTGATATCTCCTCTTCTGGGAGAGGTACAAGTGCCTCACATGTGTTCCCATTTTGTCTCCACTGTGCAGGGTGGTGGTTAAAGTCTTTAAATTCCTGTAGGCTTCTTCTGAGACCACCCCAGCAGGGGCTGGAACAGGGGTCCCATTAGTGCTAGGTGAGAACAGAAGTTTAGGCTCCCCACATGTTCCCCACTGACACTGCAGCAGGGAAGGTCTCAGTACTATATGGTGGGATAAAGTCCCAGTTGGCTACTTTCCTAGAAAACCATCAAAGTTTTACATCTTAAAAAGGTATTAGAGATTATATTTTTCCTTCCTCACCCCTCAATTTTAAAAACAAAAAAAGCAAGGCGAGAAAAAGTTAATGACAGTCTAAAATCACACAGATAGTTTGCCGCAAAGCAAGGGCTAAAATCCAGTTTTCCTAAATCTCTCTTTAGGACTTGCTTTCTTTAGGTGGGGGGAGGGAAGTCACAATGCCTCATTTTTTTTTTATTTTTTAAAGGAATAATATTTTCTCAAATAATTACCTGCCATACACCAATACCAGCTGAAGGTTCTGAGAATGGACGTTTGAAGACCCTGCACATTTTCAAGGCATCTGAATTGACTTCAGTGAAGTTATTTAACACAGCAAAGGCAGCTGCTAATGGGTAAACACAGGAGAAAAGGCTCACATAACCAAACTGCAGGAATAACTCCAAGTAATCATCGAAGGTACCCTGAAAATGTAAACACCAAGAGAGCAAGCATTGGTTTAATATCATATAATAGGAATAACCTTTTGCAATACTATTCAAGACATTGGCCTCTAACTGTTGAAAATAAACTTCAAAGAGTTTACCCCAATTATTTCTTCTCAACCACAGAATCTACTTAAAAGCAATTTTATATTAAGTCCCTGAAATAAAGAATAAAAAATGATGCAGCTCCTCGTTTAATTGTGCCAAATCACTGAAATACTACATTTTTTCTATGGCAAACAATAGCAAAGCTAAAGATGTTTGCTCCTGACCAACTAAAAAGAAATAATCCAGTATCACTGTTAGAGACTTTTCTGATGTCCCTCTCACATCACTGGCACCCCAGAATGTCAGTCCCTGATCCTCCATGAAAAAACTGATGGTGACAATCCCAATGAAAATGGTGAAGTAAAGACCACCAAAAGTTCACCCCTCCATAAAAGCAATAACAACAACAACAAAAAAAAAAACAAGGAAAATTTGTTAGAATCAAATTTTTTAGTACTCTGGAAACTAACCCAAAGACTTGTAGCAACCCAGACAGCATTTATTCAAGAAAAACATCTGAATCTTGTGGCATTTTAACTTACCTTAGTCTCATCCCCCACTCTCCAACTCTGCAGCAACCCTAGAAAATAACAGCATGCATTCACAGTACCAGAGGGATCAGAGTGGAGCTGGAGATCTTTGAAAGCCTCATTCCCAAAGGGAAGTCATTATATGATCTGACTAGTGGTACCCTAGAAGACTCCACTCAAAAGACTTTTCTTATTCAACATCACAGAGTCTCTCCTAGTGCTAAAGGCACCCCAGTGTTAATAGAAGGTTCTAACATAACATCTGCCTGAAATAATGGGTAGCAGCTGGGGCAAACAATGAACTAGCCAGGGAGCTCAAAGGAAAAGATAAGGAATGGGCTATCCACAGGTGATGTGAAAAGCTCCAACATTTTCCTGGGAATCCAGAAGACCAGGCACATGTACAGGATTGTGCACATACTCAGGAAAGATCTGAGAAGGCTCTAAGATCTCATCTCTAACTGACCTTGAGGCTCTGCATGAGCAGGAAGTGAATGCTAAGGTAGAGTTATAAACTTCTTGGCTGAGCACAGACAGCATGTCCGAATACAAAAAGAGACCTAACACACATCTATAGAAGATTCAACTGCAAAATAGCAGAATACACATTTTTCTCAAGTGTACATGGAACATTCTTCAAAATAGATTATGTTAGGCCATAAAACAATTCTCAATAAACTTACAAGCTTAAAAACATACAAAGTAGAATTACAACCACAATGGAATGAAATTGAAACTCAATAACAAGCAAATTTGGGAAATTCACAAACATATATTAGGCAACCTATTCCAAAAAACCAACGGGTCAAAGAAGAAATCACAAGAGAAATTAGAAAATACCTTAAGAAGAATGAAAACATCTTAAGAAAAATGAAAAGAAAACAACATACAAACACTTATGGGATGCCATGAAAGCAGTGGTCAAATGGAAATTTGTTGCTGTAAATGCTTCTGCTAAAAAAGAAGAAAGATCTCAAGACAACCTTGAAAAAGAATAGTAAACTAAACCCAAAGCATGCTAAAGGAAATAAATAAATATTAGGGTGGAAATAAATAAAGAATAGAAAAACAATAGAGATCAACGAAACCAAAAGTTTGTTCTTTGAAAACATGAAAAAAAGAGATAAACCACTATATAGATTGTGCAAGAAAAAAAGAGGAATGACTCAAATTACTAAAATGAGGAGTGAAAGAGGGGATATTACTACTGAACTTACAGCAGGAAAAAAGGATTATAAGAAAATACTATGAGCAACTGTATATCAAAAAAGGGGGAAAAAAAAGCATAGATGAAATGGACAAATTACTAGAATGACACAACCACCAAAAGTGACTCAAGAAGAAATAGAACGTCTGAATAGACATATAACAGTAAAGAGATTGAGTTAGTAATCAAAAACTTCCCACAAAGAAAAGCCCAGGCCCAGAGGGCTTCACCAGTGAATTCTACCAAATATCTAAAGAAGAACTAATACCCATTTTTCACAAACTCTTCCACAAAGACGAGGAAAGAACACTTTCCAATTTGTTCCACAAGGACAATATTACCCTAATACCAAAACCAGACCATTACAAGAAAAGAAAACTACAGACCAATACCCCTTATGTCCAGAGGCATAAAAATCCTTAACAAAATATTGGAAAACTGGTTCCAGCAGCATATTAAAAGGATTACACACCATGACCAAGTCAAATTTATCCCAGGATGGCAAGATTGGTTCAATATACAAATATCAATCAATGTAACACACCACAATAATTGAATGAAAGTTAAAAAAAAAAACACAGAAAAACAAAATATAACACCATTTCATGATTTAAAAAACAATAAAAAACTGATAAATGATATCTACAAAAACACCCAGTTAACACCATATTAATGGTTAGAGACTAAAAGCTATGCCCTAACATAAGGAACAGGACAAGGATGTCTGCTCTCGGCTCTTCTATTCAACATTGTCCTGGAAGTTCCAGCCAGTAAAATTAGGGAAAGAAGTAAAGCTCTTTCTATTTGAAGAAGATATAATCTTATATACAAATAAAACTCTAAAGAATCCACAGAAAATTATTAGAGTTAATAAATGACTTCAGTAAGGTTGCAGGATATAAGATCAATATACAAAAATCAATGGTACTTCTATACGCTAGCAATAAACAATGTGAAAGTGAAATTAAGAATACAATTCCATTTATGATAGTATTGAAAAGAATAAAACATTTAGGAATAAATTTTTCCTAAACAAAGAAGCATAAGACTTGTACACTGAAAACTACAAAACATTGCTGAATGAAATTAAAGAAGACCTGAAAATAAATGGAAAGACATTCTGTGTTCATGACTTGAAAGACTTAACATTATTAAGATAACTATACTACCTAAATTGATCTAAAGATTCAATGCAATTCCAATCAAAATTCCAACCATGTTTTTTTTTTACAGAAATGGATGAGCTGATCCTAAACCTCATACGGAATTGTAAGGAACACAGAAAAGCAAAAACAATCTTGAAAAAGATGAACAAAGTTGGAAAAATCCCATTTCATGATTTGAAAATCTACTACAAAGCTACAGTAATGAAGACAGGGTAGTACTAGCATAGGATAGACATATAGGTCTATGGAATAGCTTGAAGAATACAAAAATAAAATTGTGTGTTTATGATCATTTGATTTTCAACAAAGGTGCTAATACTATTCAATGGAAATTTGTTGATTTTCAACAAATGGTGCTGGGACAACTAGATATCCATATGCAAAAGAATGAATTTGAACCCCTTCCTCACAAACACAAAAATTAACTCAAAATTATCAAAGACCTAATTATAAATACTAAAATCATAACATTCTTAGAAGAAAATATAGGAGTAAATCTTCCTGACCTTGCATTAGCTAATGGTTTCTTAGATTTGACACCAAAAGCACAAGTATCAAAAAAAGATAAACTGGACCTCATCAAAATTAAAAATATTTGTCCATCAAAGGACATTATCAAAAAAGTGAAAAGAAAACTGACAGAATGGGAGGACATATTTGCAAATCATAGATCTGATAAGACACTTGTATTCAGAATATATAAATAACTCTTACAACTCAATTGATAAAAAGATAACCCGGTCAAAAAAATAAAATGGGCAAAGAATATCAATATATTTCTCCAAAGAAGATATACAAATGGCCAATAAGCACATGAAAAGATGGTCAACATCATCAGCCATTAAGAAAATGCAAATCAAACATACAATGAAATACATTTCATACCCACTAGAACGGCTATCGTTCTTTTTTTAAAAAAGTAGAAAATAATAAGTGTTGATAAAGATATGGAAACCCTCTACAGGGCTTACAGGAATGTGAAATGGTACTGCTGTTTTTGACAACAGGCTGGCAGTTCCTCAAAAAATTAAACAGAGTTAAGCATATGACCCAGGATATGGTAACGTATTTTCATACAAAACATATGTTCATACAAAAACTTTTACAGCAATGTTCATAGCAGCATTATTCATAGTAGAAAGTACAAACAACCCAAATGTCCATCATTGATGAACAAAATAAAGCATATCCATATAATATTATCCAGTTATAAAAAGGAATAAAGTACCAATACATGTTACAACATGGATGAACCCTGAAAACATTATGCTCAGTGAAAGAAAACAGACACAAAAGGCCACATATTATACGATTTCATTTAAATGAAATGCACAGAACAGGAACGTAGATTAGTGGTTGCTGGGGGATGAGGAAGGGAGGGACTGCTGGCAGAAATGGAATTTCTTTGTGGGATGATGAAAATATTCTGGAATTAGTGGTGATGGCTGCACAGCCATGTGAATTTACTAAAAAACATAAAAGTGTACATTTTAAAAGGGTGAGTTTTATGGTTTGTGATGGGAGTCTGGATGTGTTCTCCCCTCCAAAACTCATGTGGAAATTTGATCTCCAATGTGGCAGTGTTGGAAACTGAGTCACGGGGGCAGATCCCTCATGAATGGATTAATACTCTCCCTGGGGGAAGTGGGGTAGTGAGTGAGTTCTCAATCTATTAGTTCCCACGAGAGCTGATTGTTTAAAGGACCCTGGCACCTCCTCTCTCTCTCTCTCTCCCTCTTGCTTCCTCTTGTCATGTGATCTGCTTGTACCGGCCAGGTGCCTGCTATTTTTCTGCCATGAGTAAAAGCAGCCTGAGGCCCATGCCAGATGCAGCTGTCCCAGAATCGTGAGCCAAATAAACCTCTTTTCCTTATAAATTACTCTTTTTTCTTATAAAAAACAGACTAAAACAGTTTCTGAATTGTCTCAATTTTTTTAAAAAGTAAAGAGAAAAAAAGCTGACGGTAACAAGGAACCTCCCCAGAGTCACTCCAACAGAAGCTGCAGACACGTCAAAGAGACCTAAGG